GTTAAGGTGACGTGGATGTCTAACAAGGTTCGAGATCCAAGTATTGCTCAACATTTATATTATAAAGTATGATTTTCACTTAAGTTTCTTAGGTGAACAACATTAATATGAGAAACTTAAGTGGAAACCCTACTTTATAATACAAATGTTGAGTCACATTTGGACCTTAAGCCTTGTTGTACATCCACATTACCATAACTTAATTTTTCTCTCCAGAATTTGATAATAGAGACCAAATAGAGTAACATAAATGAAATTAGGGGACTTGATGACTAAATATGCATTGTTTCAAAAACTAAAATTCAATAACTAAATTAAAATTATTAAACGTGTTGTTATTATTTGAGTTTGATAGATATGCCTATAAATAAAGGCCCTAAATAAATAGATTCTCATAAATAGTATAAGAAAAGTGTTATGAACACTATTTTTTTAACCCTCTTTACAACACTAACTCTCTTATTGAATGAAATACATGTAAATCATTTTAAAAAAAAAAATAGATCCAACATAAATTGACCAAAATACCATTGAAGCCAATTAATAAAAATGTTACTAATTTTCATGGAGAACCCAATTACACATTTGGCTCTCAACAAAAGAAACCAACGAGGCCTAGGGTTCCGAAATTTGGAGGAAACAAGAGATAGTGGCTCAAATGAGAATGTGAAGTTTCAGTTTGTGGTGCTGCAAGTTATTGACATCAAGCTCTTGCGGTAGCCGTTAGCTACAATGCTTACTTTCTACAATGTTTACTCACGACTTGTTCAGAACCGCATGTGAGTTTTTATTTTATGAATGTAGATGCTCACTTTTATAATACTTCATTTGATTCTCAGCTTCCTTGCTATTATCTGCCAAAGGTTGCAATGCTTCCAATGCATTCATATTCTGTCTCATCCCGCTTTGCATCTTGTTCATATATAATTCATTTGCAAGTCGATTGATGCCAATAAGTCGATATGTCCGAGTGGTTAAGGAGACAGACTTGAAATCTGTTGGGCTTCGCCCGCGCAGGTTCGAACCCTGCTGTCGACGTTTTTCATTTTGTTTTCCCATCATATAAATTAGCTTTGCCCTTTGTTTTTTATTGAGTTTGAATTTGACCAGACAAGTTTTTAGTTGAAGATAACATACCTTGTTGGAAGAGACTTGCATTGGGGTTTGTGGGCATATTTCATGGAGACTACTATGTTACAGGAGACAAAGTCCAAGTTGATGAGTCAATTAGTGTAGTGGATACTACTAGGCAGGGGCTTAGATACACCCTACATTTACTACCAAGTTCCAACTTTTGCAAAGGAAAATTTGATATTATTAATAAACATAGTTCAATTATACGCGGCAACAACCATATCTATCTTTTTTATAGGAAGAGAAAACCCTCATACTTGCTAGTTTGAATTATTATAGAAACATGTAGCCCCTGTGCAGAACTCGTCCACTATTTTAAATTAGAGTAAATACTCATTTGAGCCAAAATTTGTGAGGTGCTGCTTGGATACTCTCTGACTACATAAAAAATACAAAATTCCATAAAAGAGATTGATCATCAAATCTTTCTTCCGGCCAATTCGGCCATAATATCACATAATATCAAGTTATGGAAGAGTTGTAAAATTTGTATGATACATAGTCCATACTAAATTTGCACAGTCTGTATCAAAAAGCACCAGTGGTCTAGTGGTAGAATAGTACCCTGCCACGGTACAGACCCGGGTTCGATTCCCGGCTGGTGCATCTGGTTTTTATTTTTTCGATTAACTCGTCCTCATGACTAATGCATCTGGTTTTTATTTTTTCGATTAACTCGTCCTCATGACTAATGCATCTGGTTTTTATTTTTTCGATTAACTCGTCCTCATGACTAATGACACTGACTGCAATTCTTATGCACATGTTACTGTTGAAGAGACAAGAACTGCATTAGTTATTGGTTCCATGCATTAAAATAAAGCTATAGATGGATGAATGAAAAAGAGACCAACCCAATTATCATTATCACCAATATATGTGTTTTTTATGCATCTCATTTCTGTTAGGTATATATTAATTTAAAGCATTATAACCATGATCTGAATTGAGTTATCTACAGCAATTATGTCGACTTGATTTGATTCTCATCTTCCAACTCATCCCTATACTTTTAACTTGGCATCACATGGATAAACAACATCGCTGCAAACCATGCAGTCTTTGAACTTGTCTGCCTTCAGTGGATCAATTGGAGGCAAGACGAATCTTCTTGTTTAGGCATCAATACAATTAGTACATTATCATGCCTATATTTTACAGTGTTCCCAACTTCATGTCAACTTTTTAATCAATATTCATTGTTAATATTAATTCCTAATCAACTTCATGTCAACTTCATGTTAGCTCCTAATTTTAATATTAATTCAATGGTTCTCGGTAGATGAAACATTGTGAATATGTGCAAAGTTTTTATTTAATCATGGGCCTAAGGAAAGTTTTGAGATTGTCAACTCTTATATGCACTGAACTTAACTTTGAGTATCATGTTGGCATACTTAATTTTTGCCTAGGTTTACAGTTATTTTATTTTACCAAAAAGAGAAACATAAATTTATTAAGTGAAAAAGTTTGTTGAAAGATAAGATTTTGAAGGGAACTGAGCAAAAGAGATAGATGTTGAAATAATAAGGGTTTGATCTCTAGTTAATAATATTCACATAGTAAAAAAGATATAATCAGAATCATGTACAGTTATGTAACACTCATGGTGGAAAATTGAGTGCACACAAATCATATAGACATTATGATTAGTGGTTGAAGATGTTAAGAAGTGAAACTCTATTTCTAATTAATTTTCTTGTAATTTGTTCAACTCCTATTTCTAGATCTTGAATGCATATCTCCAAATCTTCCATATGCCTTTGAAAATTTTCAGTAGATAATGACTTGTGGCTGATGAGAGACAACAAAGCTGCATCCACTTTCTCAAATTCATTTGTGTCTGAATCTTGAGAGTCACAAACAACTCTTTTAGAATGCATCAACATGGATATTGCTGACCATCTTCTGTTATTTGACTGTCCTTTTGGATTACAGATAAATAGCAGTAAACGTTCTAGCGAGCTTATAGTGACTGTTTCTGCTTCTTTCAAGAATCCAAGCATAGGTGAAGAGTTATTGTCTTGGTTGTTTGAGGAAGAGGCAATCAACTTGTTTGCTTTCAAATTTACCAACGCCTTCCGAATTTGCTTCTTCATGTTCTTCCTCAAAGCCATGTATTTTACACCCTCGGCTTTGAATCCGGTTTCAACTCCTCTCTTTCTTCTAATGAGTGATTGTAGTTCATGTGTGTTTTCCTTTGATAGCAAAAGGCATTCCTTAGCTATACTGCAGATATCCAAGATCCTAAGTGATCCTTCTAGTAGGTCATCGGCACACTTTTCATTGCACTCTTGTGCTAAGGTTTGTTGTTCGATTGGTAATTCAAGTAACTTACTGATGCAATCATGCAAATCCTGCATGTCATTAAGTTTGTTGCATATCAAAGGTGATGACACTGAAGAGGCACATTCCGAAGTCTTCAATCGTTGCAAATTGTCCTCAAATTGTGATATTAGAGGGTGAGGAGTGGATGGTAAGCTGTTGCAGCGAAGATGCAGAGGGCTCTTTGTGTTTGTTCCATTGTGTGCCATTTTTGTTCTTAGAAAACAGAAGTTTAGAAGGTGAAAATATACAAGAGTTTATTTGAATACTTGAGTTTTGGTTGGCTATTTCGCTTCATATATATAGCAAACAAATAAAGGAGACAAGAAGAATATTTTTGTTTGTTAAATGTCACCTAACTAGTATGCAATGATATTATCTTGATTTGGATCTCGGCTACCTCACCATGATCTGTCAATACTCTCCATGCACCAAGCTTTCAACTCACCCCTCAATTGTTTTCTTGGGAATTGCGTTGATTCTTACAAAATGGCATCTTTGCAATATAATACTCAGAAATGCATTATGCATGCATGTTAATGGAGGTTTAATCTAGTTGGAAGATGAGAAGATACTGTTTTAAAGCATGATTATCTTTTATTATATGAAACTGTCTCATGATTAACTATCTGTCTGCCTGCTACTGTTATATTGCTTACTTGTTGGTGGCTATGTTTATGCAGTGTTCCCAGCTTGACACCTATTAGTTTATGTTACCCTTGTTACAGTTACTTGTCTTATTAACATGTGAATTAGCTAGTTGATGCATACTGGTTTTGCAGAAGTTCACGTTGGAAACAATAATTTTTAAAGAGTATCATTATATTTTTTCAACTTGTTGCGATTAATAATTTCTAGTAGTCTTTTCTATGATCCTGGTGGTTTGAAAATCAGGATAGATAATAAAAAAACACCCTTTGGATTAGCTTGGAGTTTTGCTATAACAGCCTTTGACCCTAAGTTAAGTAACCTTCAAGTTTCAACTATCTTTTGCTGCTCACATTTTGTATTAAAAAGAGTGCTTTTCAACCTCCAAGGATTCTACACAAGTTTTTCTGGGTCTTTGAAAGGAGGTATTTCAAATCCTGCACGTTTATAGATGTTCTTGAAAAATCACATCAACCTGAGATTTTTAGATATACCTAAAAAGAAAAAGAAGATCTTTAGGAAGGACAAAAAAGACCGGCCTAGTTACCTAAATTAATATTAATGATATAAGCTCATCAACCTTGGGACTAAAAGTAGAAAAATATGCAGAAAAATCACACAATTGATAACCATCATCAAGTACATAAGTTTGGGAGCTAAGTTTTACAGCCATAACAAAAAAGGTTTTCAATATGAAATGAAATATGCATAAAGTGCCAAAATGATGTCAAGTCATACATGAAAAGAAACACAATAACATAAGGAAAAAAAACAATATAAGGAGAAAAAGTTAGAGAATGATTTTCTTCCAAAGCTAAAACATTAGAAGCCAATTTGATTGATTCATTGACATGACATAATTACAAAAACATTCATTCAAATTTACACAACAACTAGTGATTAAGGATGTTGAGAAGGGAAACTCTAATCCTAATAAACCGTTTAAAAAGAACTTCAAGTGCTTCCCCAAACTCTTGAACAACAGACTCCAAATTTTCCAATTGATTCTGCAAATGATTCACATTATCTGACTTTCTTGTCACATTAAACACAAAAGACTGCAAAGCAGCGTCAACATTGGAAAATTCATTCTGATCACCTTCTTGTGTCGAAGAAACCTTCTTGTTCTGCATCATAAGCTTCGAAACCAACGACCAATAATTACTTGGTTTCGATTGCACCGGTCCAGAAATGAAAATCAAAAGTGACTCCATCATAGAAAGAGTAATCACTTCCACATCTCTTAACAAACTAACCAAAGTCACTTTTTCATGATCCTTATTATTGCTAGGAGATAATAATTTTCCTTTACCTTTCTTCACATTACTTTTCAAATTCTCCAAAGCTTTCAGGATTGCTTTCTTCACTACCTTCCTAGAAGCCAAGAATTTCCTCACCTCGGCCGTTACCTCCATTTCGCCTCCTCTTTTTCTTCTCATAATGGACTGAAGTTCGCGCGCGCATTCCTTCGTATGAATTAGAGAATCCTTTGCTACCGAACACACATCAAGGAGTCTCAAAGATCCGTCCAGAAGCTCGTCTATCCATTTCTCTTGACGCGCTTGAACAAGGACTTGTTGAGTAAGAGGTAACAAAACCAAATTTTCCACACAATCATGTAAGGCTTGAAGATCGGTTAGCTTGCCACCGAACAACGATGAAGTGTTGATTTCATCTAAAGACTCTAAACTAGCCAAGTGTTGATTGCATTGTAGAATGACAGGGTGTGGTTTCGAAGGCAAGCTTTTCGAGCGAGGTTGGTGATGTGATGTTGGACTAAAAGGAATTGTAGTAGCCATTGATTTTTTTTTCCCACAAAAGAGAAGAAAAGATCTTTTGAATTTGGATCTACCTTTCTGATTAGTTCAATATATATTGAGAGTTGAAGAGACATAAGGAATCAAATAGTAACAAAAAATCCATAATGAGCTAACTGATTTAGATTCAGATCTATGGAAAATCTCAGTAATGTTAATACAATGTCTCTTTCATAGGAACACTACAACTCACATACTTAATATTTTTTTGTCTCTTAACACTCTTTCCCATTGCAAGGTGTTTCTTCAATTCAATGCTATTAATGCAAGTATAAAATTAACTTTTTCATAGAATCACTTTTTTGTTGTATTATAAATGAAGTACAAAATACAGATTGAATTAGTTGTACATATTACTATAGCAAGTTCTGTGCAGTCTTTCCTAAACAAAGGGAAGTAGTAATAATTAATATACACTTTCATTATAGGAAAGACAAAAATCACGTTGTTCATTGAATTTTAGATTCATAAAATAAAAGAACATGTGCAAAAATTTAATTTTGACCATTTTTAATCATCAACTTACCTAACTACACTTGTTATCTTGACAGCAGTTTGGATTTAAATTGACTTTGAATCCCATGTGGGATTGATAATAATTGATGTGGAAAGGTTTCAAGTTTTGAAAATACTACACCACCTCCTCCTTTTTCTCCATCATTTTTGTCTTGTTATTTTTTTTATTATATAGTAGACACTCTTTAAATTAATAATGTCAAGAATAAGTAAAATTTATTAATTTAAAGAGTTATTAATTTATCGATAAATTAATAATTATTAATTTAAAGAATTTTTAAATAATTATACTGTACATACCAAATAAAAAGACAAATTAGTCTATGTCTCTTAAAATTACGTTACAACGAACTTTGAGACTCAACGTAATTAGTAACCACTGTGTCTTTGAAGTCTGTTACGCGAAAGGAAACACTTATGACGTCGAACACTCTTCACAACTTTATGATACAATACAAAAATGCAACACCTGAACTATTGGATGCAATAAGAAAAGTTAGAGATGAACTCAAAATAGACTTGAACTTTAAAGAAAAACAGATAATTATTGAATCATATTTCAATAGAGTGTAATATATTTTTTTTTCCAGTTTCTATGAATTATTAATTTATGATTTTCTTGGGATCGAAAATTATAAAGAGATCTCCCAAAAAATTATTATCTTATTATTTTATCGAGTTTTTCAATTTTTTACATTACCCCAAATCGGAACCAGACAAATTTATTATTTTAGAAAATTTATTAATTTATCGAGTATTAATTTAAAGAGTTTATAATTTATATGTATGAGAAATAAGACTTATTGAGAGATGATTTCATTAGAGAAAACTAATACCAAAAATTCAACTTTGGTTGGCAATTAGGTTCTTCAAAAATTGCAATAAAAAGTATTTATTTATACATTATATTTCTTTTCTTTTCTGGTAATGTTATCTTTTGTGTGGTTGAGTAAATTGTTAAGCAAAAAACACAAATAGTTAAGAATCAAAATATAGTCATTTCTATTGCCTTCAACTTTAGTATTGATTACACTTACATATAAAGTTGTTACTCGAGAATTAAGGGTGAGTTACTGCTTAGTTACTCGAGTGAGTGAAGTAAGGACAATTTAATATGAGTTAGTCAAATTTTTCTCAACTCCAAATAATCTTACAATTTGTGAGAATGTCAATTTGGTCAAGGCCGACCATAAGGAGTGGATAGTTAGGATTTAAGGACTCATTTTCTCTATTTTATAGCTTAAAGTAACCAACACGACAAAAATCTTGGAAGCATGGTAATTTACAATGATATAGAATTAGCAGTTGTTGTTTTTGTGTTAAAAATTTGGAGACATTATCTTTTTAGTTCTAGATTTGAGGTGTTCAGTGATCACAAAAGTTTAAAGTATTTATTCGATCAGAAAGAATTGAACATGATGTAGAGAAGATGGTTTGAACTCCTGAAGGATTATGATTTTAGCTTAAGTTACCATCCTGGTAAGACTAATGCCGTAGCTGATGCGTTGAGTAGGAAATCTTTGTACATGTTGATGCTTATGGTTTAGGAGTTGGAATTGATTGAACAATTTAGAGATATAAGTTTAGTATGTGAAAATATTCCTATCAGTGTGAAGTATGATATGTTGAAATTGACCAGTAGTATTCTTGATGAGATCAGAGAAGGATAGAAGATCGACTTGAGATGGATTGATCAATTAGTGTTGATCAATTGAGGTGAAGATGGTGACTTCAGGATTGACGGGAATGGTGTATGAGTTTCAGAGAGAGAGAGAGAGAGAGAGAGAGAGAGAGAGAGAGAGAGAGAGAGAGAGAGAGAGAGAGAGAGAGCTTGTGTTCCAGATGTGCTCGAACTTAAGAAGAGTATTCTTGAGGAAGGACACCGTGGTAAACTGGGTATCCATCCAGGTGCAACCAAAATGTATCAAGACTTAAATAAGATCTTTTGGTGGACAGGAATGAAAAAGGAAGTTGTTGAGTTCATTTATGCTTGTTTGATTTGTCATAAGTCAAAGATTGAACACCAGAAGTTGTTGGGTCCGATGCAGTCGTTAAATATCACACAATGGAAATGTCATAGCATTTCCATGGATTTTGCAACAAATTTATTGAATAATTTGAAGGGATGTGATTCGATTTGGGTGATTGTTGATAGATTAATCAAATCGGCTCATTTTATACCGATGAGGACCAATTATTCTTTGCAGAAGCTAGCTAAATTGTATATTGATGAGATTATGAAACTACATGGTATTCCTTCGAGTATTGTGTCAGATAGAGATTTGAGATCTACATCAAGGTTCTGGGAGAGTTTGCAGACAACTTTTGGTACTAAGATGAAGTTGAGTTTTTCTTATCATCCGCAGACTGACGGTTAGACGGAGAGAACCATCCAGTCGTTGGAAGATTTGTTGAGTGCTCGTGTGCTAGAACAAAGAGGTTCTTGGAATAACTACTTGTCACTGATTGAGTTTACATACAACAACAATTTTTATTCTAGTATTGAAATGAAACTGTACGAGGTATTGTATGGTATGAAGTGTAGAACTCCTTTGTGTTGGTATGAGTCAGGCGAGAGTATTGCGCTCAGACCTAAGATTGTTCAGCAGATGACTGAGAAGATCAATGTGATCCAAGAGAAGATGAAAGCGTCTCAGAGTCATGAGAAAAGTTATCATGATAAGAAGAGGAAAAGCCTTGAGTTCCAGGAGATAGATCATGTATTTTTTAGAGTTACATCGGTAACTGGTGTTGGTCGAGATTTGAAGTCTCGAAAGCTCACACCGCATTTTGTTGGTTCATACCAGATTTTGGGAAGGATAGGGGAAGTGTCCTATCAGATTTCCTTGTCCTTTCCGCTTGCTAATCTTCATGTTGTGTTTCATGTGTCTTAGTTGAGGAGATACATTTCAGAACCATCTCATGTGTTCCAAGTGGATGATGTGCAAATGAGAGATAACCTGACTGTTCAGGCATCACCCATGTGGATAGAGGACCGAGAAGTGAAGCAGTTGTGTGGTAAGGAGATTGTCTTAGTGAAGATAGTTTAGGGAGGACTAACTGGTGGGAGCACGAGTAACAAATGAGATAGTCGTATTCGACTATATTTTCTTCATGTATTTTCGAGGGCAACAAGTTCTTAAGTGGGGGAGAGTTGTACCACATTGTTTCTGTTAGATAATTTTATTTAATTTATTAATGCTTTTAGTGTGAATTATTGGACTATTATGTGTAGTAATTAAATAATTGTGGGTTATATGTCCTTTAGGCATTAGTGTGGAGAGAATTTAGAAGTGAATAAGATTAACTTAAAATTAATTAATTATTAGAATAAATAACATTTTATTTGAATTAGTTAAATAAAATGATAGAATTAGGTCAATATGGAGAATTAGGAGAAATAGAGGGGAGCAAGGAGTTAGGGAGTTAGGGCAATAGTGTAAATTAAGAAAATTGAGGATTAATAAGGTAATTGGAAAGAATTTTATAGAAAATCCTAAGTATATATTTCAAGTAATAGAAAATTATCCTAGTTTTTATCAGTACGTATAATTTGAGAAAAGAGGCAAAAGGAGAGAAATACCTTTTGAAGGGAAAAGGGAGCTAGGGCTTGAAGAAGGAGACCCCATAGAGATTATTTGATTTTTCTGTAAGAGGGAGAAAGGGCTTTTAATATGTGTGTATTGCATGATGGGATAGAGAAGAGAGATCCTTACTCTCATTAGGTTTCCATGATTTTGTTCTATGAGTTATTGTTGTGTTAAAAATCTGGAATTGGATTATCTGTTGTGTTTATACATGTGAATTTGTGACAGAATTATACTTGAATCTTAATGACTATACATGTATAAATTTCTATCATTGATGAATGTTTGGATGCTTAGACCATGAATGTAATTGTTGATAAATTGATATAAATTATGATGAATATAAGTCTTGTAATATGTTGATGTTTTAGTGACAACATGATTCATGGATAAATTCATATGCTATGTTAATTGGTTGTGAAAAATTGGTTGGAATAATGTATGAAGGTTAGTGGAGGAAGAGATGAGGACCGTGTGATGAAAACTGGCACGATTGAATACTTGTGAATATGCATTGTTGAGATGCTTGATCGTGACTTTATGAGTCTATCGAAATTATTGACTGCAAGTGCACAATCTAATCGTGTAGTTTTAAAAAGATATTGAACCCACAGAGACTATTAATCAAGCTAATGCTATCTAAGATTACTATGTAATCTAAGGCTGAAAATTAATCTTAGGTTTTTTTTAGGGAAATAGGGAGTAAATTCAAGTTTAATAAAATATGCGAAATAAGGGATACCAGTATGTAATTTGTCTGACTTCCGGAATCCGACTAACCATTGGTTTTGTTTTTCTCAAAAACACTTTTCAGTAGAAAATATTAGTTTAAAAATCCTTATCTCACACTCTCGTGTTTATTGACTTAGTCTGCATTCT